CGTCCCCCGGACGGCCCCGGCCGCCGCGACACTCACTCTTGTTGACGGTCTTGAGGGCACGCGTGAAGTCGCCGTTCTGGCCGTAACGGTTCACCTCACTCCACAGCGCGGGCACCGACACCCCGCCGCCGCCGCTGCCGCCGCCGCTCGCCATCTTGGAGGAGACGAGGGGGTGGGAGGAGAGGGGCGACCTCTGCCCCGGAAGAGGATCTCGAGGTTGGCCGGGCGGAGGAGGAAGTTGGCGGTTGCTAGGAGACCGCGAGTCGCGAGCGTGTGGGTCCAAGAGCTGGCGTCGGAAGCCGGTCTTCTTAGGGTCTCGCGGCAAGAAATTTGTTTACCTAGTGGCTGTCACTCCTACTCCCGATGAAAAAGGCGGCTGGAGGAAGCGGGCGTCGGATTCATAAGGGGCACACAGAGATCGTCAGGGGTTTTTTTTGTTTGTTTTGTTTTGTTTTGTTTTGTTTTTTTGGTTTTTCGAGACAGGGTTTCTCTGTGTAGCTTTGCGCCTTTCCTGGAACTCACTTGGTAGCCCAGGCTGGCCTCGAACTCACGGAGATCCGCCTGGCTCTGCCTCCCGAGTGCTGGGATTAAAGGCGTGCGCCACCACCGCCCGGCGAAATTGTCGGTTTTTAAGATCCAGTTCAGGAGCAGAGGGCTGGAGCCCAACCGGGTGAGACTGCCCACGTTCTGGACTGGATTCTACAACTCATGGAGATGCCACATAGTAAATTACTTCTTGGAGGGCTTCCTTCAAGTATTTCTTTAAAGAAACTTGTTCATGTGTCCAGTCTACATGCTGGTTCAGAGGGTCAACTTCCTTGTGTGGCGCTGGAGAGCAGTCCCATAAAGTAAATGCTCTTACCATCAGCTACACGCTCGGTCCAAGACTGTATTGAGCACTGATCCTTCAAGTCCTATCTCACTCTTACAGTCCTGAGGCCAGAGGCCTTACTTTGTTTACTATCACGGCTTTTTATGTACCTAGGAGACCTATGCTAAACCTCCCTTCACTTCCCAGTCAACTCCAGGTTCTCCCAATGGCGGTTGTTACTCAGCTTTTTGGTTTTTTTCTCGAGACAGGGTTTCTCTGTGTAACAGCTCTGACTGCCCTGGAACTCGATTTGTAAACCAAACAGGGATTGAACTCATAAAGACCTACTTCCCTCTGCCTGGGATTAAACGTGTACGCCACCACTGCCAGGCTGTTACTCAGGTTTTAAACCACTATTTACTTATTTCTTGTCTGAGTCAAAGACTGAAACTGTCTAGCCAGTGGTCATACGGTGCCTGCACTCAGCTTAATACATCATGTTGTATTTGAGAAAAGAATATCTTGGATCATGATTTCACAAATTTCAGCCCACGGCTTTGTTGTTTTTGGAACCTTGGCCAGGAAGAGCATCATGGTGGGAAGCCTGTGGTTGTCACCCAAAGCTGCTCACATAATGATTACTGGGAAGCAAGAAGCTGGAGGAGTCCCAGTCCAAACGTCCCCTTTAAGAGCACACCCTGACTAGGTCCCCACTTCTAAAACTCCCACCACCTTCCAACAGTGTGAAAGGGATCTTTGGAGGACAGCTGCTGGACAGACACTAGCTCTGTGTCCCCATCTTTGGGAATATGCACTTTTCTCATTCAGTATTTCAGTGCCACATACCTGCCTGTGCTAGAACTTTACAGTTGCTGAGAGTGAAACAAAATGTCTAGTGTACTTGGGTTATGTACTTCCTAGTTGGAAGTGATAGACAATAAACAAAAAATATACTACTAGGTGGCGATAAGTTTTATGGAAAAACTGATGATCGAGAATGAAAGGAGACATTAATCCCCTTTTGTTCTCTGTATTTTTTCTTTGGAGAGCAAAGCCTATCAAAAGTACCTTGTCACTGTTCCATATTAGGATCATTTAAAGTACTGAAGCTCTAATTCACCGGTAGTTGTTTGCCTAGCACACATGGCCCCGAGTTCAATCCCTTCCACAGGGGTGGGTGATCCCCCCCAAAATCAACCAAAACCAAACAAACACCCCCCTCCGCCCCCCCTCCCCCCCAAACACACAGCAAAATTTCCAAACACTACAAAGGACTGTTTAGCAAAGACTTAGTAAGGGCAGAAATCCAGCTTTGCTCATCTTTGCATCCTCAGGACCTTGTGGGAGGTCTCCAGGGAAAGAGAAGCAATGGTGCACGTACATGAAGACTTGTAATTAACTTGACAGCTACAGAGGTTGAGAAGCTTGTAAAGTACATGAATAAACTTGGCCACTCATGATCCCTGAGAAGCTTCCACACATACTATTTTACACTAACTATACCATGAGACAAGTGCTATTTAGCCCCACATCAGCCTGAACTGCCTTTCATATGCTGGGACCACAGGTTAACCTGCTCTAGGGATTCCCATGCTAAATAATGGCAGTCTGGACCACAGCTCAGAAACAAACCTAGCTGATGATCTAGTTAGGGTGGTTTTCATGGTGAGTTAGTTAGAATTTCATTTTCTATACAGGGTGTTAAATAGATGTAATATAGTCATTTGCCAGGTTTACATATATTATTAACTCACTTGATTTTAGGTTATTTATTGAAGCAACAGAAATTCCAAGTAGATTTACAACAAAAATTTAAAAACCAGGCCTGGGGATGTAGTTAGTTGGCAGAGTGCTTGCCCAGCATTCACAAAGGCATGGGTCCAATCCTCAGCACCACATAAACCAGGTAGCAGTGGTAGGAGGATCAGAAGTTCAAGGTTACCCTCGGCCATAGACAAAGTGTGGGGCAAACTTAATAAACTGTACTACTTGCACACTTAAAAATGTTTCTCTACAAACCATGGAAATGACGAAAGTTGATGTACAGTATAATAAAACATACTTTGAGACACACAAAACAATTATACTGAGAACTTATACTGCATATTAAAAGAAACTAATGAGCTAGAGAAATTGCTCATTGGTTAAGAGAATATACTGTTCTTCCAGAGGACCTGCAAGATTCCCATCACCCACATTAGGAAGTAACTGCAGTTCTAGGAAAATCTGGCAACTCTGGTCTGAGGACATTGATACTCACATGCGCATACCCACACATGGATACATATTTAAAAATAAAAATTTAAAAACAAGTGGTAAAACTGATGATGACCACTGCTTAATGGACGATCCTATTAACTAGTCTATCCATGCTTAAAAATGATTTTCATGTGCCAGTTAGGTGGGGTCTTCCACAAAGGGGTGGTAGAGCAGGAACAACATCAACACATGGCTATGGCTATTTAAGGAACAAACAGTAAGCCTGGCTGAATGTTTAAAAACAACGCAATTCTCTAATTTCTAGGAGATACCTAGGCAGAGCAGAAACTGTGTGATGGTTAATCTTCACCGCCAAGTTGACAGGACTTTTAATCACCATGGAAACACACGGTTGGATGTGTTGGTGAGGGTGTTTCCAGAAATGCTTAACTGAGCCAGGATGACTCACATTGAATATGGGCAGCACCACCTCATGAGCCAGGCCATGGACAAGAGTGAAAAACAGTGAGCTGAGCACAAGCATTCACACACTTTTCTGCTTTCTGACCCTGAGAGCAGATGACTAGGGACTTCTGCCAGCATGCCTTCCACACTGTGAGCCCAAATAAACCCACCCTTTTAAGTGGCTTCGGTCAGGTGTACCGAAGAGTGCGAGGGAAACATATGCAGATTCCTCTAGAGTTTACAATCCAGCGAGAACGATTATAGCCTCCATGGTTATGTTTTATGGAAACTGAGGATGACGAAGACCAAATAACCAGCATTTTAATGTTTGTGTGTGTGTGTGTGTGTGTGTGGTAAGCGATTCCTCCTCCCAGGGCCCTGTGCATGCCACAGAAGTGCCCTACCACTAAACTATATCTCCAGCACCTTTCCCTTTCTAAAAGAGCGTCTCACATGGCCTAGGCTGGCCTTGAACCTGGGAGACTCTTGAGTAGCTGGGATTAGAGTTTCATTATCAGGCCTTGCTTACACCAATGACTTTTAACCTCTTGTCCACAGACAGGCTTTCAAATAGCTAAGGAACCTATGAAATCCAACGATTTATGGATTTTTTTTTCAAGGTAAGGTTTCTCTGTGTAGACCAGGCTGGCCTCGAAACCAGAGACCCACCTGCCTCGGCCTCCAGAGTGCTGGGATTTTCATGTGCCACCACACCTGGATCAGTCTATGCACTTTTTTTTTTTTTTTTAAAGTGCCAAACCTTTTCAGAATCTATGCTGCAAAATGAGAAGACTGCATTAGTCTTAGGGTAATCGAAGGCTCAGGGGAGAATGGGGGCCTCTAGGCATCAGGGAAATGTTAAATCTTAACTCTGATTTGTACAGAAGATAGGACAGTGTCACTTCAAAGCCTAGTCAGAAGTTAAAATGGACAAGACTTGGCAATTAAGGTTGTGAAAGGTTAAAGATCAAGGATGAAATCAAGTTTCTAACTTGGCAGACAGTGAATGTAGCAGCAGGTGTAGAAGTTACAGGCACTATGGGTTTTATGATGGTGCCCATGGGACAGACAGGCAGAAACAAATGGTTAAATTTATACGAAGTCTAGCAGTACAGAGCTCAGAGTCATTCATCCTAGCTTTAGCTTAAAGTGTTAAGTTCACCTAACACTAAGAACTTTACAGTAAAGGCACCAATACCCAAGAAAAGGGTGTGAAAAGATCAGTAAGTTTATCTTGATGTCTAGCTGAAGGAGTGGTTCGTTACACCCTACAGGGCCCAAGCAAGTAGACCATAAGAGGTAGCATCTGAGTAGGTGAGAGGTTAGACGTACAGACTAGTGTGGGTTTGTAATTTCATCTGTGGCAGCTTCTCTGTAAGCCTAAACTCCCTTCTCATAAAAATGGACATGTAAATAACATGCAAACACATGGCTGCTCAGATTAAAGAGTAGTGACCCATAGGAAATCTGTGCTGTACAATGTAATGCAGTGATTTCCAAACACTGAATTATGGGTTTCCGACAAACTACAATAAAGATTTCCCTGCTGTTTAACAAGAGGTCATTCATATAAAGAACTCTCTATAATCCCACCCTTCCTAGATTTTGTATATTTGTAGCCAACTTGCTGGTGTGGTAGTTGGCACTGAAAGGGAGCACGGAATTTCAAGCTAGGCATAGTAAATATGTTCAAGGCTATCGAGAGTCCTGAAGGTAGAG